CCTTCCCTTCCCTTCCCTTCCCTTCCCTTCCCTTCCCTTCCCTTCCCTTCCCTTCCCTTCCCTTCCCTTCCCTTCCCTTCCTCCCTTCCCTTCCCTTCCCTTCCCTTCCCTTCCCTTCCCTTCCCTTCCCTTCCCTTTCCTTTCCTTTCCTTTCCTTTCCTTTCCTTTTCTCTTTCCTTTTCTTTCCTTTTCATTCTTTTTCAATTTTATTTTGAAATAGCTCTCTGATAAGCCAAACAGCTTTGTTGTCTTGTCTCTGGAACCGAAGGCAATATTTGAAAAGCTACCCAGGTACGTCAGCTGGGCATAGCACTCTGACAGCAGTGATGCCACAGTGAGCAGAATGATCCTGAGAAAGTGAACTGATACAGCGTATAAGAACTTTGCTGTAGAGATAAGGAAGGATCTGCACAGTATTCAATAAATCTCAAAGTCCTGGTGATCCAGATGGTCCCTTTGCTCTCGTACTGATGTGTGATCATTAGCAGAGATGTGTAGCCCATCAGTAAATCAACCTAAATACTTTGTTATAATAATCCTCATTACAAAACATTGATAGATTAACTGTGCTCCATTTCAGTTTATGAGCAAAGCTCTTTGCTCTCTCTGGCAGCGTGATTAATGTGAGGTTTGCATACTTAACATTAGAGACCAGTATTTATGGCCTTAAAAACATCAAGAAAAAAGGGAAATGTCTGCTGTGACAGCTTATATAGTACAAGTGTCAAATCTTATCAAGGATCCTCTCATACATTATAGCTTCAAGAGGTGCTATCATTTACCAAGCTGACCTGGCAGACCTCAGAGCCCCTTGTAACATTCTTTGTATGGTAATCCAGTTAAGGGCAAAATACAGGCTGAGACACAGCTTAACACTTTCATATTCTCAATAAAGCTGTTACTATGAAAGAAATCATCAGCAAGCCAGCCAAAGTCACTCTCCTCTAACAGGAAAAGATGCAGTCAAACTTCTTAGCCAAGTAAAGTGATTTTCTCTCTGCCTTGCTGTACAAACAATTTATAAGCAATGGTGCCACTACTGATATGTGGGTGGTGCGAATTCTAGGGGGTCACCATAGGGTAAGGCTGAGGAATGTCCCAGGCTAAGACATCACACTAACCTTTGCAGTGATTAGAGCTGTTTTCAGTGATGCTACCCTTTAATCAAGGGGGCTGAAACTTAGCAGGGTCTTGAAAAGAGGTGTAATGGGTTTGACTTCAATTCAGCTTGAAAGCTTCAGTGAGCGCAACACTTACTTATGCTGACTAATTTCTCTTATGTGCCTCAGGATCCAAAATCTTGAGTGAGGGAAACAGATAAAACGATCCAGTTTGGACATCCTGTTGCAAAGTCAATTTTCTCAAAAAGACTTGAATTGCCCTCCACCTCCCGCACACCAGGGATGTGGCTGTAATAGATACTGTCTGCTCGAGGAGCCACACTGCTCAGTGGTTTCCATCACAATATGTTTCATAGATGAGCTAAGAGACAGCTTGACCTGGTTGATTTAATACTTTCCTACAATAGGACAGGTGCTACTGAATGACTAATACTGTCCCTATTCATGATAGTTAAGCACTCAGAGGCACTTAAACATGCATGTAATCACTGATACACCTCGGTATCATTTACTTCAAGTAGACATCAACATGAGGTTAGAGTCAAACACATATTTCAGTGCTTTCATGAATCAGGGTCATTATTTGATTAAACTACTCATGGTATTTGTGAAAATACTGATGAATTGCAAAAGTTTCATTGACATAAGGTTGAGTGATTATTTGTCCACAAATAAAAATGCCTATCATCCAGCCTCCCCTCTTTGTCTGAACTGGTTCAAAAGATACATCACCCACATACTGAAGATGAGTAATTGCAAACTGTGTAGCAATAGATCCAGCTTACTTTGTTTTCAGTGTACATTGCAGTGAGTTTAAGGCACACAATGACAGGAAGGTTCATGGACTGTCATTTCTGAACATGTTTTGTCACATCTAAAAGCAGGAAAACCAAGACCAGGTTGTGAACCTAAAACATGTAAAATAACAGAGGACTAAATCTGGAAGGAAACAGAATTACACTTAATAATTCAACCAGCTTTATCCACAGGTCCATGCACCAAATGAACAGGCTATTCCTTATAGAGGAATTCATTGGACTTCTGAGAAGCCACAGTTCCTGGTTCCAAGGAGAGAGCATGCCAGTGGGGCATCAGGAAACACGTAACTCGCATGCATCACTTCAAGCAGAGATACACTAAATGGAAGTGAGAAGAACTGACAACATTGGGAATTTTAGCAAGGGATCACTGTACTTCCAGCCAACAGCAGATTCCATGCAAGAGCCTGCAGACAGCGGTGTCTCACATCACCTCCGCAATATGAGGGTTAAAATGCTATCTACCACTAGCTGGGAAAAGGGGATTTTTTTTTATTATTATTATTGTATGGAGTAGTTTCTTTTTTTATGATAAAGAGCTCTCAAATTCATCTCTGAGTTGTAGTTAAACCACTGTCTCTAAATGCCTCTTGAGTCAGTGACAGCTCTTCTAAGCTGTGCGGAGATGGGAGCTTACAAAATGTCTCCACTTGTCACAAGGAGAAGGGCTTGCTTAGGAGTTCACATTTACCCAGAGATTTATTGGGGGAGAGGGCGGTTTTGTGCAAGACTTGAAAGAGAACATGCTTCTACGAGATAAATTCATTTTCATGTTTATTTATTTAGAGTAGAAAAAACGGTGCTGCCTAGTAGAGCATATGCTGGGCGTAATGAAAGACAAACGTCAGCTTTTGAAGGAAAACACCCATTCATCAAAGGACACGGAAGAACAAACAACATCTTCATTAAAACACAATTGAAAGGTGGCTTCTCCCCTCCACTCCACCTGCTTTCCCAAGTTGGGGGTTGCATGGGAAACTGCTGCTCTCTTCACTTTCTAGTCACTCTCTGTCTTGGAGAAGATGAAAGGCTTTTCCCATCTCAAAGGCTTCTTAAAGCTCAGAGATAGGGAAAGAATAATAATAAAAAGTGTTCCACAGTACTTCAAGAGATTTATCTTCACTGTTTTGGAGAAGGCCATGTCTGCATTCACTTCAGCCCTGTTATGACACATCCTAGCTGAAGGAGGGACTCCATACCTGGGACAAATTCTGCCGGGCACTCTGTGCGCTCGACACGAGTTCTTGTGGTAGGTACTTGAAGCTGGTAATATGATACATCCCCAAGATCCCACTAAATAGGAGGAAGCAATCAAAATCTTCTAACTTTTCCCAGGATGGAAAAGCAATTTCCTCCTCCAGCTGTAAGAATGGAGCAGATTGAAAGGTCTCAGGGAAAGTAATTATTGTGCTTTGATGAGTCTATCAGGAAGCCAAGACTGGCTCATTGGTGTGGATAAACATTTTCATCTTTGACCTAATTGTCTGTGTAAATCTAACAAAAAGAAATCATCTTAGTGTGTTTGTGTTTATGTTGTGAGATGTTAGTTTGTTTTGTGAAGTATCACATGGATATATGGCAGTAAATAAGTAATAAATACAATAAGAACAATAGCCAACTCGTGGTTGTTATCCCAGATAAATCCACCAAGGTCTGGGTTCTGGCTGGTCTGTGTTGTTTCCCACTGCTCTGTTCACTCTCTGTGATTTTTCTGGCCAGCCCTCAGTGAAGCTTTTGATTATGTCTGTCATGATCAGTTGTCTGCTTCTCTGGAAGCTCTAATTAATTAATTTTAGTAAAAACATGAAATATGACTGAGAAATACAAATGCTGCTATGGCTATGCCTCAGGTGGTCTTTTATTATAGCATCAGACATAAAAGCTAGAGATTAGAAAATGACTGAATTACTGCTTGATTTTTGCAAACTTTTAATATGAAGTCACAGTTCAGTTCAGCCTTTAAAAAGGGGTCAGATGAGCCCAAAAGATCGTGTTTACAGTTCCCAGTTGTCAGCAATGACTTGCTGCTTAAAAAAAAAAAAAGGGAGACTTTGAGACTCCTCTTTAAGTGTAGATTAGATATAAAATGGAATGAGTAGAAGAGAGAAATTCTGCTTTGCACTTGAAATCTGCACATTGGACCTGAGAAGGAACAACACTGCTTCAATCTAGGAACACCCTGTAAAACCAAAGCCTAGAAAAATGTGGGTAGGTAAAATTACTCACCATCCTGATCGCACATCAGTGCTGACTGTTCTTTGGACGTAATTGGAAACTTATTAATGATGATCCCCTTTAGCTGGGGATTTTCTTAACCTATAAAGTTCAAGTAGCTGTTTCTTCCCAAACCACTGCTCTGGCTTTGCTGTCTCTGAGACTAAATAGATCCCTTGTGCAAGTGACCTTATTGACAATGCTTGGAACACAGGCTTTTATTTTCAAAATGCTAGGGAGCAGACACCTAGGCTTAACTTGTGACCTATTAATATATTTAGCTGGGATGTAGCAAGGCCACAGGCATCTCAAATTGTACATTTGCTTGTTTGAATAACATATTACTTTGTGCTCACGCACAGCCCAAGCCTAAGAAGTTTTGCAGGCCAAGAGGGAGCGGCAGTGTAGGCTGAACTACCTGAGGAAGACCTAGGACATGAGGGGGCAGAATCCTCTCTTTCTTTCTTTCTTTTTCATTCTTTTTCTTTCTTTCTTTCTTTCTTTCTTTCTTTCTTTCTTTCTTTCTTTCTTTCTTCCTTCCTTCCTTCCTTCCTTCCTTCCTTCCTTCCTTCCTTCCTTCCTTCTTTCCTTCCTTCCTTCCTTCTTTCTCTCTTTCTCTTTCCTTCCTTCCTTCCATCTTTCTCTTTCCTTTCCTTTCCTTTCCTTTCCTTTCCTTTCCTTTCCTTTCCTTTCCTTTCCTTTCCTTTCCTTTCCTTTCCTTTCCTTTCCTTTCCTTTCCTTTCCTTTCCCTTCCCTTCCCTTTCCTTTTTTCTTTTCTTTTTTCTTTTCTTTTCTTTCTTTTCTTTTCTTTTCTTTTTTTCTTTTCTTTTCTTTTCTTTTCTTTTCTTTCTTTTCTTCCTTTCCTTTCTTTTCTTTCATCCAGGAAGAGTAATCTGGATGAACCCTCCGGTTGTACTGGTCATTGAGTGCAAGGTCACAAGCTCACCCTTTGCATCCATATGGACATTAGTAACAGCCCCTTCCACCTCTCTTCAGGTCATCTGCTGATCTCCCAGGACCCTGTTAGGGAGAGGGAAGAAATAGCAGCTATGATATAGATGAAAGTAAATGTGCTCAGACAAGAAAAGTTTACTCCACTCATCTTTTTGTCCCATGTCCTGTAGCAGTTACACAGAGGATCCATACCACAGCGTTTACCAGTCTACATTCACACTTCTCATAATTATGTTGCCTTACATACCTTGTTTAGATAGTGTCAGAGTGAGTGGGGGACATCTCAGCTTCAGCAATCAGAAAGCTTGACATTTGGTCTAACAGAGTCCACATGACTGACAGAAGGAAAGACATTTTCCAATAAAAACTGGTTTCCTCCTCTCTCAGGGTGGGATGAAAGTACCCATCTCTTTCTAAGAAATATAAAATGCCAGAAATATAAAATTTCAACCCTCTTCCAATAGTAGATTTTCATTTTTATTTTTGGCAAACACAACAGGCTTCCAGCTTTTCTAGCTACACTGCTAGAAAACACCCTCCCTAATGATAGTTTCTAGCAGCCCACGACCAGGGGTAATCTCCCAGCCCCATCTGCAGAGCAGTTCATGCAAAAGCCATGTTGACCACCTCTAGGAAAATTAGCCAAGGTGGCTGATCCAGCATTTTCAATTACTGGGCTCAGCTAACATGGCTCATCTTACTGAAGTGACATAGGCGATGTTTACATGCTCCAATCTGCTGGCAGAAGCCAGGACATGGCAACAGTGCAGAGAGAGAGAGAAACGATCAGCTGGTGATAGCAGCCTCTTCCAGAGACACAGCTGGGGCCAGAGAGGTGTGTCTTGGTAACAAGATAGGGTAAAGGATTTCTGTTATTTTCTTCAGTTTATCAGAAACTAAAAACTATTGCAAGACCTCGAATGATTTGAGGACTACAGCTTGTCTACTTTAGTACCTCTGTGCTGCTTTTTTGTGCCAAGAAAAATGAAAATGGCAATCCTAGAGATAACCAAGCAGTCAAATTATTCAGGCTAGAGATTTGTGCATATCTAGTTTTTACAGTAAGACAGGAAGTTCCACTCCTTGGAAAAGAGATTAGGGATATGTCAGGCAGAGCAGACACAATGGTGGAGACAGCCACTTAAAGGCAAATAAATGAATAAGGAAGGTCCAAGGAAGCAGATATTACACTAAAAAATCACTTCACTGAAAAGATATCAGAAGTCCATGTTTCTGTTAGCTTTCAAGAGTCCTGCACATGGAGCATAGCACTGAGATGACTGAATTGTCCTTGCTCCATGTTGGAGCTGGATCCAGCTCTGGAGCAAAACCAGGCACCTGCTAAAATCACTGTGTGTGAACCTGCCTTTGCTGAACTTTCCAGCAGCGGAAACAGCACAAGAAGGGCCTTTCTGCTCCCATCCACATCTACCCATCCTCTCTCTCTTCTCTTGCTGCAAATGATCATCCCTGCTGTCATGTCTGTTTGGTTGTCATCCCAGATTTAAACTGGGTCAGTAAAAGTCCAAGAAAATCAAGAACTGATCCTTTACCCCAAATAGATGACGTGATTTTTGGAAGAAAAGGTCTGATTCATGTTTACCTTTTTGAATCACCCTGTTCCCTTGCTCCCTAGGTGTCAGCAGACTAGAGGAGATATTGTGAAATATTTCCCAAGCCAAGTGGAGCAGAGAGGAAAGGTGGAGAAGTTCACAAAAAATTTTGGATTACATTTCTCACTGGAGCTAAACTGCTGATCTTGCCATTGCAGTTGAAGAAGCAAATCTTCAAGGATTTATGTGGTGTTTTGGCAAGCTAAGAACCTCTTGTCTTCCAGAGGAGTGCTGTATGAGAGTGTTTAGGTCACTTAGCAAAGCGTGGCATGTCCCCTGCTGCTCCTGCTGCATGAAAGAGGTGACATGCTCCTACTGAGCCTGTTGTTACAGCATTAATGCTGTGACTCAAAATGGAAGACTCTCAATGCAGCAATTCCCTCAGTAGTGAAGGTTAAACTCGTTGCATGTGGGCCAGGCTTGAATCAGCAGGCCCAGCTAGGCCATGCTTGCACCAGCAGGCCCAGCTGGGCAAGGTTTGCTCCTGCAGGACACAGCAGATGTGTCTCCACCAGTGAACCCAAGAATACCAGCCCCAAAGGCAGCAGCTTTCAGGCCTTTCCTGTCCTGTAGGCCAGGAGAGGCAAGACGAGCTTTCCTATACCAGCTGGTGGTAGGGCCTGGATCACTCCCAAAACACATCAGATCACCAAGGATAAAAGTAACCAAGGAGTGCAGAGTGCTGCCAGTTCCTTAAGTCAAGGTAAGCTACCAAAAGGCACAGATCTGTAATTTAATTAATCCTTCGACCCTCCCCTCAGCAGTCTAACAGCTAAAGAATTTTACATGCACAGGGCACAAGGAACAACTTGTAGAATCATACAACTGCTCTGCAGATTTTCCTTATCCACCTTCCTCCTTGATGGGGGACAATTTTCCTTTACAGTAAGTTTTATGGGTGGATTTTTTCTATCAGGAGTGGTACAGTTTGAAAATTTAAGAAGAAAAAAAAATACCAACATATCAGTATCTACACAGGAGCTCTTCCTAATCTCCCACAGAAATTAGTAAAGGTCTATAGCATGATTCAATTGTGTTATCATAGACATTTATTGACCTTTCTGATGCTGTGGAGCACCAGACCCAGAGCTGGAAGGTGTGACACAGTCCATGAAGACCTGTGCTCCAAAGGCAGCCACATGGGACAGCAAGAGCTACTGAGATGGCCCCACGCCTTTGTGAATTGTGCCTTTGGTCCATGTTTTAACATTTAATTTTTGTGTTGTAATCCATGTGCTAAATCCCACCCCAGCAGCCTGGTGAATCCTCCTCCCCCAACCATTTCAGTGCTTGATGTTGGGATGATTTGTCCTCAGAGCTGCAGCGAAGGGGTCAGGAGTCAGTGAAAGCAGCTGACCTGGAGCCACCAGCATAGCTCCTGCTGGGCACAGGCTGTTACACTAGGCAGAACGTGACAGCTACACATGGATCCAAGCCTCCGAAACCAGGTTAATTTATTTCCATAGTCTGCAGTAACTGGTACTATGCTCAGGAGAAATGCTATTAATTGCTAGCCTATAAAAGAGGAGTCAGAAATTGGAGAACAATGGGGGCACAGAGTTTAGAAGAGGAAGTCCCATGGACATAAAATACTTAAGTCCCACAAGAATATAATGGTCCCAAATCTCCATTTTTGACAAAATCCTCTTCAGTTTATTTGACTTTGGAGTGGAACAAATGCTATGTATTTTCAAAAATCCTTGCATCTCCTTCAGTCTCCTTCCATGCTCTGTTCCAAGTATAGTTAACCCTTGTTTTCTCGTGATGTCCAACAATGTGTTTGACACTGCTAAAACACTTCAGAGAAACTTATCAAAACTCATTTGCATGAATTCAAACTCCAGGAACAACAAAAAGAAAAATAAAATATTGCAAAAAATGCATGCCCTTGAGGAGAGAGAAACTCTAACCTCAGTGGGTGGGTATGTTGGGGGGTTAAGGATGTCTGGGTAGTCTCTTACAATCAGTGGGCACTTTGGATCAATTTTCTACAAGTTTGACACAGCTTTCTTTCTCGTTCTGAGTCTGCAGGCCCAAATATGTCAAGATTTCTATATTTTCTCTGTTGTTTTTCAAAATAATCAATTCAAAAAAAAAAAAAAAGAAAGAACTTGATAATGGTGAGATGCCTTGAAAAGGCCTTTAACAGATACAACTGGATGATTATACTGCCTGCACATGTCTGTTTCTGTTCTTTTTTTTTTTTTTTTTTTTTTCCTGAGGTTTTAGTTTTCGTTTTCACAAGGGGGAATTGTGTGGTAAAGGGCTGTCAGATTGCATGTTCACACATGGAATGGAAGAATGGTATCTGTAACAGCTAATGGGAATTGGCATCATGTTGTATTATGGTTATTCATATTATCAGTATTATTGTACCAGAACATACATATATACCAGATTGGGATTGGGGCCATAGGAACTCTTTCAGTAGAGTCTCTAATTTTGGCATACATCTGTCTATTCCAAATTCCTCAGGCTGCTTTTATAAAATAAAACAATTACAAAAAAAAAGCTTTCTTCATTGTTTTTAAAAAGAAGTAACTCTGGCAAACTGCCACAGACTTCACAGGACAGGATTGCTCCCTTATCATCTGTGTAGCACTTTGGGCTGTCACAGACAGAAAGATCCATTATTATTTTGATGTAAAGCTGTTTGCCTTATCGCATTTGAGTTTCTTCCTCCAGGTGGAAAAAAACTTATGACAGAACTAGTATGAAGATATGTTGTTTATGACATGAGAGCAACACAGGTGGCATATTTCAGCTACCTCCCATGTGGGAGGGTTGTCCTCAAACCACTTCACAGACCTCATAATCACTGTCCTTGCTTATCAATGAGAGCATTCCAGTAATGGGAGGCTGATGATTTGTCCTGTGGGAAAAGGATGATAAAGCAACACTAGAGTCTAGGCTTTCTCAGGACTCATTGTGCTCCTTAGTTTTTGGCTTCTCTCCTCCTTTGTATTACAATATCCAGAACATACAGGGAAAGATGCACACTGTGCAGTAACTCTTTGTTGTGACACACAATTTTCTGTATGTTTCCCATCATGGCAGACTGGAGCCTTCTGAGCTGGCAGCGAATGTATTTCCCTCCAGCCATGGTGTTAGGATTTGGTTTGTATGTCCAAAGAAAAGTTCAACTCATTATTTTCAGTATAAAGTTTAATATACACAACTAGCCTGAGTTCATAAAGCCAGAAATGTATGGAATGAAACTAGAACCTTTTCAAAAACATTAAAAATATACATTGAATTAGAAGTGGATCAAGATGATTTATTTGTGCAGTAGTGTTGAGAATACATGTCGGGGAATACTGCAGTACAGTTTGTCTTGCTGCTAGAGGTGAATCTGAGTTTCCATGCTTGGATCTCAGAGTGAACTTTCCCAGAACTTGAGAGGAAGCCTTTAGATCTCACAGGGGAGCATTAACTTCAGCCTATGAAGGTTTTGTTGTTGTGTTACTTTTTTTTAAAAAAGTCTTTTACCTGAAAACATCTTGGACTTAGGTCTATGCAGCCTCCTGTTGGGGCTTCCAGCTGGTCTCAGTACAGTAATGCTTCTCCTCCTTCATATTGTGCCAGAAAAGGCTGGAAGAAAATAGAAGAAATGGCTGCATGCCCACTAGAAAGAAGGCTTGACTCCCTGTCACCTCCCTCCCTGTCCCTGTCCCTGTCCAGCCACCTAGGACCTAGAAGGTCTTCTTACGTGCCCCATTCCCACTCCTTCCCCCCTAGAGTCTTTGCTGATGTCAGTGATCAGCCAGCCTGTGGAGCAAGAAGGAACTTATCTTGTCTGCAACAAACACCCCAGGTGTTCACACCCTCTCGTCAGACTCCTCCAGCAGCCAAATACACCCATCTCAGCAGACAAAGCCTGGCCATTGGGTGCATTGTCCAAACCAGCCCTGTTTTCTCTGACTGAATCTATTTCCCTGTCTTCCATTTCTGCATGTTTGAGCATGTAACCTAGTAATTTAAAAGACACCCTAAAATGGTATAAAGCAAGCTGCTCTTCTCATTTCCATCTCCCAGGCATTTCATCCGTCAGACACAGTTGTGGAATGCCAGATAGCTACCATGAGAAATTAGACATCAGGTAACATTTGTTTTGGCTTAGCTTGTGTTTGTTTAAATGTTAAAATCTCAGCCTATTCTTTATTCTAACATATTTTATCACTTACCTATAGCCATCTCCAGTAATATTTTATAGCAGGCTTTTTAGGTCTTGAGGAAAAAAGCAAACTGGTGTGGCTCGGTGTGCACTCTGCTTCCACATGATGTGTGAGCATGAGCGCCAGGAGCCAGTTTTGAAGGGAGACTCATGCTACATGGGTTCTGCTAAGTGGATTCCATGGAGATTACTTTAAATCACATGAGAACACAGCATTCACAGGCTATAGTTTCTCCTGAGCCTATGCCAGTGTGGTGCCAAGAGCAACCTGATACTTGAAGATAGTTTCATGTGTATGTTCAGTCACTGCAATTAGACTTTGAGGGAGTTGTTGACCATGGGAGACTTTTATATCCCAGCAAGATTTGGACATTTAAAAGCTCCTGCTCCACATCATGATAAACAAGAGATCATTCAGAGCAGTGAAAAGCAGCACTTTATCTGCAGAACAAGCTTTAGCCTGGCATAAAGTAATGTTATGGGATGTGAGACCCCAACACACAAACTCTGCCTGATTTGACCAAAGGTGTATAAACTAATCCCATGTGTTTCTTGTTATCTCCTTCACTACCAGATCATTAGTGGTCTACAATGGATGAGCTATTCTGCTCATGACATGTCACCAGGTGTAAGTCACTGGACAAGAGAGAATCTGCTCCTAAAGCCCAGCCTTTCAAGGACAGGTAAAAGTTTCACCCTATTCCCTCTGACCCCAAATTCAATTTGTAGGAATTTGTATATTCCTATGAAAAACTACAGTACTCTAATGTTTTCATACAGAAATATGAAGTTGTCCAGTAAGCACTATTAAAAATCTTTAAACATAAGTAAACTGTTATTGTCAGCACTCACTATTTGAATATTTCATTTTCTGTCTGCCAATATTTTTATTTAAACAATAATTCTGCAAGATATGGAATATTATGGCTGAATTCTCATTTGTTATGTTTTCTCTCTCCTTTAAATGTAGAGTGGTGTTTCAAAGAAAACAGCTTTTTGGCTTTTCTACCTATGATAGCCAGAGGGCAGTAACAAAGGAAAAAAACAAACAAAATAAAAAAAGACAAAATAGTTTCAATTTCCCGACCATGATGATCATTATATCGGAACGATAGCATCATTGTGATAATTGTTACTATTATCAGAAAATCAGAAGCTACCTTTAAAAAAGGCTGTTAGCACCATTACCCATGCTTACAAGGCAGAAAAGATGAGGCAAAGGAAGATGTGACTTGCTTGTCCCAGGTTGCCCAACAGTTAAGAGCCCATGTCTTTTAAGGCTCTGTTTGTACTGGCAAGTGCCTTTCCCCAGCAAGGAGCTGGTTGGTAAAATGACCAGATGGTGCTAAGGACTTGATACCCACATTTCTGTGTATTTCAGGAGGCTTCAATTTGGACTAGCTCCACTCCATGCCTGAGGACTGAACGCTCCTTGGCTGCTGGAGAGCATGAAGTGCATTCCTGACCCACAGCTTGCCAAGCCATGCCCAGCATTTACGCAGAGGACGGCTCATCGCCAGGGCTATATTAGGGCTGCTATGATATATGAAGGCTGAGGCAGCATTTTGTGCTGTCTCCGGTGTGGTATTTACTTTTTTTTTCTTCTTTTTTTCTTTTGTTGCATTTCTGTTGATTTTGCTTCTTGTGTTTCTTGATGGGCTGTGTCAGCTGCCATAATCATTTGTAATTTGGAGGAGGAGGGAGCTCCTGGGAAACCGTGACCTGTGGGGTGGGCACCCAGGAATGTCCTGCAGGTCAGTGGGCTGAGCAATACTCCCATGCTATGGCAAGCAAAGGCCAGGAGTTTTCCTCATGAAACCCAGAAGAGACTGTTTTAGCTGTGAGAAACATCTGCTTCTGCTTTATGCTGATGAGTACTGTACAGAAAAGGGTTCCTGAGTCTCGTCTTTTTCAATGTTTTTTGTTGTTGTTGTTGTTGAACTGCAACCTCAGCTACCTACGTATAAATGAAAAATGCCCAAGTCTGCCTATCCAGTAAATAAATAACCAATAAAATTGAAACCAACCTTGATATACACAAGACCAACCATGGAAGGTTTCTCTGTAAAGCATACACGCTGTCATAACTTCAGGCTAAACAAGTCTGAACCAAGAAGTGTTTTGTCCCAGGTCTGTATATTTTATGGGAAGCTGATGCTTATTTTCCATGGGAAACTAATTTTTCCAAAGGACAGTTTCAGCTTGGCGGCTCAGCACAGCGCCGCTGTGACAAGCTGCTCTTTTAGCAGTGCTGACAGATTTTTGAGAAATATTTATTTTTTCAGCTAAGTCATGAGGCCAGTGACAGGTACATTCTGGAATGAAGCTGAATGCAGGGAAGCATGCAAGAAAATATGGAAGTTGGAGCACAACTTTTTCACTGACTTAGCCAGATAGGACACAGGTTGAAGCCACATTTGTGTAGCTCTCAGCAAAAATGCATTAATTATGGAGTAGTTTAAGTTTGTTCACCAAATTAAAGAACCTGAATGGAAGATTTTGTCAAGTAGACTCAAAAGATTTTTTTTTTCTTCTTTTTGCCAGTATGTAAAATATAAATCATTTTGCTTTAACCTGCATTTTGGTGCTTGAAAAAAAAATCAAGTGAAAAATGCATTCTAGTTCCAACCGTGACCTCGATAAGAAAGAAGTTTGATGCCAGTGAAAAAAAATGTTTCTGTTTAGCTCTTACCCCATAACTCTTCTGAAGTCTTACTGCATCTAGAGGAATCATCAAACGGAACACAATCCAAATGGCATAAACACAGTTTTCTCTAAATTAAATGTCTTCTAGAACTAGAGTTTTTTCAAAATATCATTCTATCAAATAAAAAATTAGACATCTGAGCTTGGACAGCTACTCAAACCTGTGCCTAATAAAATGGATTTCTCACATGAATCAGGCCATGGATATCTTTTAGCACATATAATGGTGTTTTGATTCCTACTCTTTCAGTCTCCTCTTGTATCATGAGGCATCAGCCAGTGTCAGCTGTGGTGATGCTCTCTGGGAAATGATGTCTAGAAATAACCTTTTTTTTTGTGGAGACCTTCCAAACAGATGGTTATCGATCAGTGAAAGCTGCCCAGAATAAACAGAAAAGGGGTATGACGGGTGCCTGGTCATAAAGATTGCTTCAGAATATCAGCTTGTCCCAAATGCCTTCCCATAAGCCGTCAGTGACCTGAATCATTATTTTCCTCCAAAATTCTTCCTTGTGGATGGAAACTGGCATATAATTTCTCCTTCTTGCCTTTGTTATTGAATACAGTCAATTCACCCACAAAGCCCTCTGTGGGCATAATAAACTAATTGCATCCAATGTTATACTTTCCTCATGCATTGCAGACTATTTCAGCACTGAAGATTTGTGCATAACCACAAATCCTCAGGGAACAGAATTCAAGCGATACCCAGTGATCATGAATCTCCAGAAAATGAGCTGGCTTTTGAATTATTGGCTTTTAAGCAAATGTTTTGTTTAAAACAAAAAAAAAAAAAAAAAAAAAAAAAAAGAAAGTTCTACCAACTTGTCATGTGGATGAGTATTAATAAAAACAGCTCTCAAGTCTTTTCCAATTGTAAATTTCCTTACATTTCTAGAAGCTGTGTAAAAGCTGTTATTTGACAATATAGGCAAACACACAAATTTGGGGCTGGATAGTCTATGAGGACAGACAATTTTAACACAGAAAGCATTGATCATGTCAAGTGGTAGCTGGCAAATTGGTTCATACTACACTATACTGATTTCATACCACTGCTATGTGGAAGGTCACTCAAGCACATTGGAAAAACAATGGTTGAACACAATGCAAGGTTTACGTGAAACATTGATTATAGAATTATAGAATATCTGAGCAGGAAAGGACCGACTCGGATCCCCGTCCAAATCCTGGGTCCCAAAAGGACCACTGTCAAAAATAAAAATAAATACAATATGAGTAAAGTAACAAAACAAACAAACTACAACTACAGCAAAACAGATCTTGTATCTGTGAGCATTGTCCAAATGCTATTCAACTCAGGCAGCCTCAGTCCCTTGACCACTGCCCTGTGGAGCCTGTCCCAGTGCCCAACCACCCTCTGGGTGCAGAACCCTTCCCTAACACCCGGCCTGACCCTCCCCTGTCCCAGCTCCATGCTGTTCCTGTTGCTGTCCCCTGAGAGCAGAGCTCAGTGCCCGCCCCTTCACTCCCTTGTGAAGGAGCTGCAGGCAGCCATGAGGCCTCCCCTCAGACTGCTCTGCTCTGGGCTGAACACAACAAGGGCCCTCAGCCACTCATACACCTTCCCCTCTAGACCCTTTACCATCTTCGTTGCCCTCCTTTGGACGCTCTCTAACAGCTTTATATCTTTCCTATTGTCCTGCAAGGAGGAGAAGACCCCCAGGAGCCTGCCAGGGACTGCTTTTGACTTGGGAGGGACCTGGACAGAGGGCTGGCCAGCAGTGCTGGAGATGGGGAGAGCCTGTACAACTTTGTCCTGCAGCCTCAGAGGGGAGCATGAGGGTTTTTCGAACCAACCCCCTTGCTCTACGTGCCAGCGGCTGCGTGCCATAGGCAGAGCGGCCTGAAGGGGCCCTGGGAAGATATGGCCAAGGCCTTGGGGGCTAATGTGAAACACCAATGCCAAGCCCACAAGATGTGGCAGATAGAGTGGGCAGTGACACTGCAGAAACCCCAGAAACATGCCAGGGCCTAAGCACTGCTGGAGAACATGCTGCAGGTGAGGACGGCCCACTGTGATATTGCAGTGATGGACTGCGACATCCCTGTGACGATGTCCCCAGCTGGTGGGCGACGAGGTGCCTGGCTGGTGGGCGGTGGTGTGCCCAGCAACTTTCTGTGGCATCCCTCTGATGCCCTGCGCTGTCTCCAGGCGATGCTTTGTGACTGCATGGCCCTCACTGCTTAAATACGGTCACCGCAGCTCAGTCCAGTGCCTTGTGCCTCTCCTCCGGCTGAGCGTTTGTGCGAGGTCTCGAGTGAGAAATTAGGTGTGCCTCGGTGCTGGGTCGTGATCCAGCGGGGTTGCTTCGTGCGGCTTTCAGAGACTCACGTCCCCAGAGCCACTTGTGCCTTTCTCCCAGCCCTGCTCCGACCAGGCAGCTGGGACATTCCTGAGGTGCACGTGCAGCAGCAGAGGTGGGTAGTGTGGGGACATCTCGCGCTGGCAGTGGGGGGGTTCTTCCTTGAGGGACCCTCCCCAGGCCAGATAATGATGGTGGCTCCTCTCTTCCTCTTCCAGAGTGACACCCGCTGCTGCAGTGCCAGTACCAGGGAGCACATTGTCATCCACTGCTCCCCCCAGCCCACCGCAGCTGGTGGAAAGCATGGATGCGGCACTGGACAACCGCTGCCCCATATGCCTGGACACCTGGGGCAGCGCCGCTTATATTATGCCATGTTTCCACCAGTTTTGTTTCCCCTGCATTCAGCGATGAGCTAAGAGCAAGCCAGAATGCCCACTCTGCAAGCTCAGACTGACATCAGTTGTGCACTCGGTGCAAGCTGATGACCAGTTTGAGGAGCTGGTCATCAATCCATCAGCAGCAGCATCCATTGATGCCAACAGGCCCCCTGCCCAGGCACCCAGCCCTCTGGTGGGTGGCCTTCATCCTGGGGCCAACTTTTCTGCCGGCACCCTGCTCTACTCCAGCCCCCGCTCTCCTGGATACACCGGGAGCTGAGGAACATCTTCCGGAGGCGGCGTTCAGAGGCACTTATCTTCGAGAATGCCATCATGGAGACACTGTGCCTCTTTGGACTGGAGGAAGACCTGCTGGCCTAGCTGTTGGAGCTCTACCTTGGTGAGAACGTGGCGATGTTTGTGCAGAACCTCCTCAACGTCACTGTGCAACAGTGCGGCAGGGAGGCCCACCGCCTGCTGGGTCTCCACATTCCACCTGCGGCCGAGCATCGGGAGGACATCCCCATGCCAGAACCTGGCCCATCCGACCCTGAAGTGGTGGCTCCTGCACCCAACCCAGCTCCCTCTCACCAGCCTGCGAGCTCCAACGGGGATGAGGTGTGCGGCACTTCAAGAGCCGATGAGGTGAGCGGCACTTCAAGAGAGTGCCAGCCACCCTCACTCCACCCCTGCTGCAGACCCAGTGGAGCAGGCAGCTCCTCATGAGGAGTCAGAAGAGGCAACAGCAGGTCCCTCCACTGCCAGGCAGGGCAGGGCGTGCCCACCTGGGGGGTCCCGGCAAGCCCCCAAAAGGAAGAACACCTCATCCCAGGCCTCTTCACCACCCAACAAGAGGCCACCCCGCTGGCGACAATAGAAGATCTGCCAAGAAGAGGGCCGGACAGCATCAGGAACACATGCTGGCGCCAAAGAACCCAAAGGTCATCAGGGTCCTATTCCACCACACATTGTACAAATAAAATCACATAAAATATGCCAGTGTTGTGAACTGCACAGTGGTCATTGCCATCCCCACCCCTACTGCTTTCTCCTCCCTTTCCTGATGCCGTGCCCACTCTTAGGCCTGTTGCGTTGCTGCCCTGACAGCACCCACTCGTTTCCTTAGCCGCTCCTGGGAAGGTGTTTCTAGCCTGGGGGGCTCCAGCCCATGCCCCGGCCTTGTCATCCCAGCCTGGTCTTCTTCTCACCACAGCCTCTGACCCCGCAGCTGGGTTTATGCCCTCCAGCCAGCCTGCACTGCTGGTGTGGCCTCACCATGGCAGCACCCAGATACCGCCCGCGCAGTCACTGCCTGGTGCTGCTGCTCTCACAGGGCATCTGGGGAAAACCCCAAGTTGCTCAGCGAGGGGAAGGGCAAATTGCTGCACCTGGGGAGAAACAAGCCCAGCACCAGGATAGACTGGGGACATGTGCTTGGAAAGGACCCAGGAGTCCTGCCGCACACCAACTTGCCCATGAACCAGCAACGAGGCCTGGCCGTAGAGCAGGCAAATGCTGTCCTGGGCTGCATTGGGAATGGCGTTGCTGGCAGCTCAGGAGAGGCGATCCAAGATCTTCTTTCTTGCCCTTCTTGAAAATTAGGATCACATTTGCCAGCTTTCGGTCAACTGGGACCTCTCCAGATCCCCAAGGTCATTGAAAAATGATTGAGAGAGGTCCTGCAGTGCCATCCACCAGCTGTCTGAGTACTCTGGGATGACTCCCATCAGGTGCCATGGACCTCTATGCATTCAGGTGCAGCAGCAAATCCCACAAAAGTTCAGGGTTAACTGGGAGTTTATTGTTCCCACCAGCTGAAGTCTACATCAACAGCCTTCCCCTCATCTTCCAGTCTGGTCACACAGTCATAGAAGGAGATAAGGTTAGACAAGCACAACCTGCCTTTCATGAACCCATGCTGGCTAGAGAGACACATCAGCAAGCCTCCAGTCCTCTGGGACCTTATGAACAGCCAATTCCAACTCTTGTCTGTTGTCAGTGAGATATCTGGAAGCAATTAACTTCACTGACAGATGAATACGTTCATCACCACTCAAGAAGCCGAATGTGCCTGACATGATCAAACTTTCTGTTGGCAAGTGTACAGAAATGGTGGCAAGAAGGCTCCCATATCTTTCAAACTTTGTTGCAGCTAAGACCACTTGCTCTGACTCATGGGTGTGCCTGTTATAAATATGAAACACCACCATCCAGCCTGTAAAGCCAGCAAAGAGGTCCTTTGCAAACTTTCACCCTGTGCCAGCTAAAACTCCCCTGGGCAGTGCCCAAGCAAGGCTGAAGTGCTCCAGGAACCATTCCCAGCAGGTGGCTGGTTGTGGGACCAGAGATGTTCCCAAAGACATTTCTTTCACTGTTATAAGCACAGCTTCAGTGTGCAAATTTCCCAGTGATGTATAAATGTCATGCTGAGGATCACAGGGTCCTAGAATTGC